GTACTGGTATTTCTAGCACTGTTGACATTTTAGGTTGAATAATTGATTTTTGGGGGGAGGAGTCTTGTCCTATTTATTGTATATTTAGATGTGTTTAGGGATGGTATGTTTAGGCATGTTTAGCTGCATTTTTGGCCACTACTTACCAGATGCAAGTAATATTTCTCATTTGGGACAACCTAAAGTTTTCCCAGACATTGCCAAATGTTCCCTGGGGCAGTATCTTTTATAGTTGACAACTACTATTATATTCCTATATGATTTTGGCCTGAGACAGAGCCCTTTCTGATTATCCCTGCCTGATGTGATTTTTTTACCTGCTGGATTTTCTGTAGTATACATTGTCTGGATTGTACATTTATCTTTTATTACATTTTCTTGTGAATTCCTTTCTTTTTCTTCCTCGCTCCCTCCTACCCTCCATCCCTTCCTCCTTCCTTCCTTCCTTTTGTCCTTCTCCTCTTCCCTCCTTCCTTTTTTTCTTTTTGTTTTGTTTTGTTTTTTTTGAGACAGGATCTCACGCTGTCACTCAGGCAGGGCTCACTGCAGCCTCAACCTTCCCGGCTCAAGCGATCCTCCAACCTCAGTCTCCTGGGTAGCTGGGACCACAGGCACACCATGCCTAGCTAATTTTTTGTATTTTTAGAATAGACCAGGTTTCACCGTGTGGCCCATTGGTCTTAAACTACTGGACTCAAGCAATCTGCCAATCTTGGCCTCCCAAAGTGCTGGGATTAGAGTTGTGAGCCATTGTGCCCAGGCTTTGTTGTGAATTTCTAACAGGCTTTCTTTCTAGAGGACTGGGACTATCTATTTCACTTTTTTTGTTTGTTTGCTATTTTGGCCAACTCCATGCACTTGTTAGTAGCTTTAAAAGAAATATATTTTCCTTTTTTTCTACTTCTTGTATGGTGATAATGGGGGTTTCGGAAAGCAAATAGCTCTAGAAAATATGGAAAACTTTGAAGCATTCTAAATTATGAGACTTTATTAATAATAATTATGGACTTTCAGAGAATAGAATTGATGCCAATATAACAATTGTGTATATACCCAGTAATAACTCTGGAAAATTCAGGACAATTCAAGATAGTTTTTAAAATATAAGAAAGATGTAAGTTCTGTTTTTGTTTTTTTTTTTTGAGACGGAGTTTCGCTCTCGTTACCCAGGCTGGAGTGCAATGGCGCGATCTCGGCTCACCGCAACCTCCGCCTCCTGGGTTCAGACAATTCTCCTGCCTCAGCCTCCTGAGTAGCTGGGATTATAGGCATGCGCCACCATGCCCAGCTAATTTTTTGTATCTTTAGTAGAAACGGGGTTTCACAATGTTGACCAGGATAGTCTCGATATCTTGACCTCGTGATCCACCCGCCTCGGCCTCCCAAAGTGCTGGGATTACAGGCTTGAGCCACCGCGCCCGGCCAGATGTAAGTTCTGTTAGATGTATTTGTTATTCAAGTAACCAGAAAAATGTATAGTAGGATAGAACTTTTAAAAATAGACTGAGAAATACAGAAAGTGGAAGGATTTGTAGAAGCATGAAGGACGAATGATTAGTTCCACAGAGTGAGATGAGCAAAGTAATCAATATGTCAGGGTAAATTGTTAGGAATGATGGATGTAGCATCTGGTTAGGAGTGACTTGTGCAAAGCTGACAGACGTGATATGTGAATGCTAGTAAGCTGAATACAAGTTGGGCACAGAGAAGTTGGCTTCTTACTACTGCCTAAAGAGAAACATCTATATTTTGCCCCAGTTGATAAAGATACAGCTCAGGTATAGATGCCCCATGCCATTTTTTAAATCAGTGAATTCTAGGTAATAAAATAAATTGAAGCCTGAGATCTAACCACTTTTCTAAGGTTGCTGCCTCTTCATCTGTGCCAAAGTTTTTGTGAAAAATAATAGGCATAGTATATATTCATTGTAGAAAAAACTAGAAATTAATGAAATGTATGGATAAAGTAAAATTTAGCTACAATTCCCTAAAGCAGATTAAAATCACTAGTATCATTTTAGTTTATTTTCTTAAGTTTTATGTGGTCTCAGTCTCTCTAGATAAAGCTATACGACGGGTGTGTATGTGTGCATAGATATATATTAGTATATGTATTTGTATATATGTATATATGAAATGGGTTATTGTATGTGAAATATTTTATATTGTGTTTTTTAATTCTGTGAACAATTCTCCATATCAGTAAAATTCTTAAAAGTGATATTTAGTGAATACATCAAATTCTATTCTTAGATTATCCCTAAATTTATCTAATCATTCTCCTATTGTTAAATTATTGTTTTCCTTTGTTTTCTTTACTATAAATATAATTTGCAGTGAATTTCTTTAGTGAAAATCTTTTAGTACCTCTTTTATTTTCTTTGAAGAGTTGTACCTTTTATTGCAGTCTGCCTCTTTTAATTCGACTCACAAAATTTATTCTGTCTTCCTTAGTTACAAAAGATTCTCAGTTTTATAGTGGAGTGTATTGACAATGTTATAGACTATATTGCCTAGCCTTCCAAGTGGTTATGTGTGACCAAAGGGCTAGGTTTATGGTTTATGAGCTATAAGGTGGAATATTATGTGAGAGAAGGGAATAGAAAGGACTTTTCTTCTCCTTTCAGACATCTTGATGCCTGCAGTGTAGGTGTATTAGCTGGAATTCTCATAGCCTTCTTGGAACGTGAGGTGACTTTGAATAGAAATAGTATATGGTAGAGCAAAAAAGTGGAAGGCAGTTGGGCCCTCTGTAGTTGGAGCTGCCACATCAGCCTGCGAGTTTCTACTTTTGGACATTTACATGGGAGAAATAAATTTGTCTCCTCCCCCCCTTTTTTCCCCTCTCTTTGTTATTACTTGTTTATTATTTTTATTGATTTGGCCGGGATGTGACCTAATTCTAGCTGTTAAAGGATATCATTATTTAAAGCCTCTGTATGATAATGTAGCAGGTCAAATATAAGGAGACATGTATTTTTGTCATGGCAGAATCTAGAGCTGTATTGAAAACTGAAATCAGTATTGAGACTGGAGAAAGGTTAATTGATGTTGAAAGGAAAAACACTTAAAATGATATAGAAAATACATTTCTGGAACTATTTGATAATATATTGCTGAATTTTGTTCTCAAATGCTGTTAATATTTATAACAAATATTTCAGAAAACACTTGATAGCTTTTAGGCAAAAAATACAGCATTGAGGACTATCTGTTGTATCAGAATCCCATCCCTATGAATTTTTAATATTTTAAAATATTATAGCTAGTTATTCTGATGAGGTCAGTTCATAAATGTAGCTTTTGTTTTATTTTAAGACAGGGACTTGCATAGTTTCTCAGGCTGGAGTGCAGTGACATGATCATGGCTCACTGCAGCCTTGTCTTCCTGGACTGAAGTCATCCTCCTACCTCAGCCTCATGAGTAGCTGGGACCACAGGCACATGCTACCATACCAGGCTAATTAAAAACTTTTATTTAATATGTAGATAGGATCTCTCTATGTTGCCCAGGCTGGTCTTGAACTCCTAGGCTCAAATGATCCTCCTTCCTTGTTCTCTGAAAGTGTTGGGATTATAGGTGTGAGCCACCATGTCTGGCTAAATTTAGCTTTTAATTTTCTCATATTAACTTGTTGAAAACGTTTTGATACACGAAATTTAAAAAAAAAATTTTTTGACTATAGACTTACTGTTTAATATCGATTCTAAGAAAGTTAATTATAACTTAAATAAGTGAAGATACACATTTGAAAAAAATAAGATATTTGTTGAGCAGTTTTAGGTTTATAGAAAAATGGAGCAGAAAGTACAGAGAATTCCCATATACCCAGTCTCTCAAGGATACACATTTTTATCTAGGATATTTAACTATACATATTATACACAGAAGAATGACTCTACATCTGTTAACCAAATATGTATTATTTTGTAATAGGAAAACCATGCATGTTACTTTAATTCAGGGTTTCCTACCCTCATAATTCCTTGTTGTAGGAGCCATCCTGTGCATTGTAGGATGTTTAGCAGCATCCCTGACCTGCACCCACTAGATGTCAGTAATTCTCCCTAGTCATGACATGAAAAATCCCACCACGCATTGCCAAATGTCCCTTGAGAAATAAAGTCACCCTTGGTTGAATACCATTGCTTTAACAATATAGGTGTTTTAAAATTTTCTGTGTTTTTCAGGTTTGGCCTAAATTTAAGGGCTCTATAGTTTAGTGAATCTTCACACTGAGTATCATATAGGCAAAATTTGGATCTTTCTGTCCACTTGGGCACCGTGGGCAGTATATATATAATTTTACTGGGCCTCAGTTTCCTTCACTGCAAAATAGGTAAAATGTTACCTAATTTGAAAAATTATTGTGAAAAATCACTAAATTATATGAAATACTTTGATTAATTAGTAAATTAATAGATTAATTTCCTTCTCTTCAAATGTAGTATCTTGTTTTAATTTAGTCCCTGCACTGTGTCAAAAACCTATCACAGTGTTATTATTTTTGTGGGAAAGGTTGTCATAATTTGGGATCTACTATTTATGGATATAAAGAATGCTATACTATGTGTAGATAAAAACTTTTTAAAATGAAGGCTGATTTATGAGGTCAGTTATACTTTGATCCTTTGTGGTACCTTAATTAGATAGTAACTGCATTCAGATTGTAACAGTTAAGTAATCTCATTGTGTTCTTTGAAGGACTTTGAGCTTCCCAGATTGAAGATAGCATTAAATGTCAGCCAATCACTTTGTCCTTTGAAGTTTTTGTCTTTCACATCTGAAATCCCGCCAGTTGTAACAGCTTGTATGTCAGCTCCAATAGAGAAAGTTGGATACGGTCAAGTTGAAGTTAGTCCACTAAAGACTTCTAACTTGACATAGTTTATGACTAATAATGTCGACTTCCCATTATTTTTAGAGTTGTAAAACATTGTCCCCGATGAAAGAAATGCCATCTATAGTAATTCAGACTATTCTTATTGTTCTCCTGCAGAAAATTTCTAAAGATTTGGTGAAGATAGGAAAACTGTCAAAAAGGCTGTAGCATTATTATACTGTAGGTATTTATTTGAAAAAGAAGTGTAAGTTAAGAATATCTTATGTGTCCAGTTTGGGGGAAATTATTTTAGAGAAAGATATAATCTATAAAATATCGAGGAGGATGTATTATAATTATATTAATAATGTATGAGAACTAATCCTATGCAGTCTTTTAAACATTGCAAATGTGTTCATGTGTACGGAGATGAGGATTTTACCAATAGCATTGAAAAATATTTCTGAGTCTAACAAGGATTGATCTAGCTTATGTACATTGGCTTATTTAAAATTATCAAAATCTAGAAAATTATTGTAGCTTTGTAGGTTGTGATATGTTTTGGGTGACTTATTGTTTAGGTTATTTTGCAGAATTATTTATTTGCTGATTTATTTATGTATTTCATTATTTATTTATTTGATTATTTAGTAAATTATTTATCTGATGAATTATTAATACATCTTCATGACATCCTTTAAATTATTTATAACTTAATTTTGAGTTATTGCTTTAGACGCTGCATTGTTACTAGTTTTGATTTTTTTCTTTGTGGTTCTTGAAAATTAAAGTATCAGCTCTAAGGCAAAAGTATATTCATTGCAGTGCTCATGGATTTTTAAAAAAATTTATGGTAGAGATAAATTTCAGCTTTGTTTAGCTTTAAATTTACCTATTTAGAGTTACCAGTGATAGAATGTTTGTATGTTATGTGCATACTCATTTTAGAGTCACTTACAAATTAATGATATAGCCTATCATTTGTAAACAGTGATTGAACATGTAAACCTCAGTCTGCATTACCCTTTGTGTCTTTAAAGGACAGATCTGCATTTCTTACTTGCTTTAGAATGAATAAGTCTTGGTTATTTTATTTTAATGCCAAATCTGTTTTACTACTGGAATATTTTTAGAAAGTTCAGAGAAATGAAGTCCAACTTAGATTTGGATTCCTGACAAATAAATATGACTGCTGTAGTCTTCGTTTTTTTAATACCCCTTATTTATGTATTTGGAAAACATCTGGATTACTATATAAATCTTTCTATATAAATTTCATGTATCAGTCATAATGACATATATTTCTTAAGGAAATTTTTATATCATTTTAATATATGAAAATGAAGAGGTTTATAAGTGCAAGTTATGGTTTCTTTGACTTAGCATCATTTCTTCTGATTCTGTTTCATAACGTAGAGCAGTTATTAGGGCTCTCTTATTGAATGGGTTTAATGAATAGGTTAAAGTAGTCATTTGGGTGAGTGCTATGTGCACAACATGGTCTTTATTTTGTGTTTGCTTGCAGTGAATTACTATGTACTTTATAGTTTTCATACTTCAGAGAGAAACTGCATTGTACATTTCAAGTTGAGATGCTATTGAAATGCAGTGAAAATGGCCTCTGTAGACAGGTTTCAGTATAAAATTGTAAATTATGCATACATATATCCAAATTTCTTATTTTGAAATATTGAATATATGAATATTTAATTGGAATGTTGCTTTAGTATCTTCATATGCTTGCCTTACAGGAAGTGTTTTCCTTTGATTTATATACATGGATTTAGAAATGTGTATATCATACATATCTGTGTCTTTTCTGTTCTGGAGATGAACAACCACAGATACTATCAGGTATGGCATTTTCTTTTTAAATGTGCTTCACTATGCCAATGTGGTCTTCTTTTGAAAAAAATAAAAATAAAAAAGCTTCCTTTTCCAATATTGAATAAGATTTGTATTAACTGTCATGATAATCTACCCAGCCCCTATTATTAACATGTTTGGGGAGTGCTAGCTATGTCATCCAAGTGATCTTTCCTTGGAAGATACACAGATATGTGCACACACACATGCACGTCACATGAAATTTTCTTAGGACATCAAAATAACTTTTTCGTATTTGTTTTTGAAAACATTAATGTAGACTTTTATAATAGTAACTAGCATTCCTGATTTCTTATGTGAAGATACAGAGCTCATATCTTTTACATGAATTATTTGTTGATCTTCACAGTGATATAAGTACTGTTCATTTTTGAGTTGACTCATGGAGTCCAACTCAAGGGCCTTTCTTTGTAGCCCATTATAGTTTTGTATTCATAGATAGTACAATGTAGTATTTAGCCAAAGTTGTTTTACTTTTTTTTTTTTTTATAGAATACTGGTATTTGTCTCTAAACATTTCACTTGCAAAGTATATTCATTTTGTATAATATTTAATCATCTTTCTTTTTTTTTGAGATGGAGTTTTCGCTCGTTACCCAGGCTGGAGTGCAATGGTACCATCTCGACTCACTGCAACCTCCGCCTCCTGGGTTCAGGCAATTCTCCTATCTCAGCCTCCTGAGTAGCTGGGATTACAGGCACGCACCACCATGCCCAGCTAATTTTTTGTATTTTTAGTAGAGACGGGGTGTCACCATGTTGACCAGGATGGTCTGGATCTCTTGACCTCGTGATCCACCCACCTTGGCCTCCCAAAGTGCTGGGATTACAGGCGTGAGCCACTGCGCCCGGTCTAATCATCTTTCTTAAACAGCAGACGAGTACTTGAGCCTCTTGAATTTTCTGATTTTTTTTTTTTTTTTTTTGAGACGGAGTTTCACCCAGGTTGGAGTGCAATGGCGCGATCTCGGCTCACCGCAACCTCCGCCTCCTGGGTTCAGGCAATTCTTCTGCCTCAGCCTCCCAAGTAGCTGGGATTACAGGCATGCGCCACCATGCCCAGCTAATTTTTTATATTTTTAGTAGAGACGGGGTTTCACCATGTTGACCAGGATGGTCTCGATTTCTTAACCTCGTGATCCACCCACCTCGGCCTCCCAAAGTGCTGGGATTACAGGCTTGAGCCACTGCGCCCGGCCCAATTTTCTGATTTAATTCTTCTTGTAATACTGTATGGTTGAGCAAAAATTACATACAAAGGAAGAATTTGTGCTTTGAGGAAAGTGTGTTGCCTAGTGGATGTCCAACACTCACATCAGGTCTTTTGACCCGTAAGTCTAAGGCCATTTTCAGGGCTCTGTTAGGTAAAATTTAATTTCCTAAAAAAAAAAAAATAATAATAATGTTCTTATCAGGGTCGGACATATACATATTGTTAAAGAATGATTAAGTGCTTGATGTCTGAGCTTTTATAGAAATGACCACAAATATCATTAAGGCCCAATATAGTCTTTAATACACAGTTAAGCAATTTAACATGTGCATAAAAAGGACAAGAAAGCAATCAATTTTAATTTTAAACTCTTAGATGTAATTATTTATAGTATTCTGGGGAGCCTCAAAAAGTAAGGAAAGATGTTGTGAACTAGTATGAGACTAAGGAAAAGATCTTTCCAACCTGTTTCTACCTGAAGACAGAGGGAAGCCTCCATCCTGGGTCTTAAATATACAAAGCACAACAGAGAACAGATGAATTAGATGGCAACAGAGTTTGGGTGATGTTGGTATGAGTGCCATAAGTAACTGCATCTGTGTGACTGGTAGGGTTCTGTATGAATCACTAAAAGTTTTTTTTTTTGGAGACGGAGTTTCACTCTTGTTACCCAGGCTGGAATGCAATGGCGCGATCTCGGCTCTCCGCAACCTCTGCCTCCTGAGTTCAGGCAATTCTCCTGCCTCAGCCTCCAGAGTAGCTGGGATTACAGGCAGTAGCCACCATGCCTAGCTAATTTTTTGTATTTTTAGTAGAGACGGGGTTTCACCATGTTGACCAGGATGGTCTCAATCTCTTAACCTCATAATCCACCCGCCTCAGCCTCCCAAAGTGCTAGGATTACAGACGTGAATCACTAAAAGTTTTTAAGGTAGAAAGATTTTTCAAGTAAATGTTAAAATATAAAATCCTAGGAATATGATTTATTAATAGGAAATATTTTAATAACTAGATTAATGACATAATCTTAAAATCCAAGATAGTTTTGAGAATGAAAGGGTATACTGTAATACGTAAAGACAACATGTATGAACTGAGACCTTCCTGGTCACATGGGGACCTATGGTAGTACCTCAATTTGTGTTGAATAATTTCTAATAGTCTTATATAGTGTATGTTTCACAGGAGTCTTAATTCATTTGTAATGTCTTTAAAAACGTTTTCTTTTGTGATTAACTTCTCTTGTGGCAATATTTATGTTAGCCAACATAAGCATTTTGTAATTGACTTTAGTAAAGGATAACGCTCATGTTTTATGACTTTTGGAACCTATTTTCAAGATGGCAGTAAAAGATTATTACTTTTAGGATTAGAAAGATAAGTATGGCAAAGCTGGTCGTACTTTAGTGGATAGTTCTAATGTTTTTCTTCATATTAACATTAGAAGTTTTTTCAAAAATTATTTTTTATTTTATTTTATTTTATTTTTCTAGAGATGGTGGGGTGTTGAACTCCTGGGCCCAAGCGATCCTTCTGTCGTGGCCTCCCAAAGTGCTGGGATTACAGAAGTGAGCTACCATGCCTGGCCTTTTAAAGAAATTTTTTTGCTTCCTTTGCCTTGTAAATCTTCTGATTCAGTGGTTCCCAACCTTTTTGGCACCAGGGATTGGTTTCATGGAAGACAGTTTTTACATGGATGGCTGGTGAACAGGGTGGGGTGAAGATGGTTTTGGGAAGAAACTGTTCCACCTCAGATCATCAGGCATGAGTTAGATTCTCATAAGGAGCAGGCACCCTAGAACCCTTGCATGCGCAGTTCACGATGGGGTTTGAGCTCCTATGAGAATCTAATGCTACTGCTGATCTGACAGGAGGCAGAGTTCAGGTAGTAATACCGCTGATGAGGAGTGGCTGTAAATACAGAACATTTGCTGGCTGCTCTGCCACTCACTTCTTGCTGTGTAGCCTGGCTCCTATCAGGCCACCTACCTGTACCATGGCCTGAGGTTAGAGACCCCTGTTCTTATTTATAGTATGTTTGACATTGTCATGAAATCTAATCCTGTTTGTTATACCTTTAGAATTTATAATTTCATGTTGGATAATCCAGTGGTCTTTTGTTTCTTTAAAAGCATGTTACGTATGTTGATAAAGTTGGCAGTTTTGCCAAAACTTACTGAAAACAACTAATTTTCCTTGGTGGAATTCTGTGTGGAAAAATAGAAATCTTAGATGAGTATAATTTAATTGTTTTGTATAGTTTTCTTTTTAATTCCCTCCTGATATGTATTTATCTGATGTGGCAAATTACATTATTAAAGTCATAATTATATTGTACATTCTTCATTTTTAGTTTTTTGTGTTTAGAACATACATGATTTGTTAAGTTGAACCAGGTAACCAGAGTGGCATATTTGTACTTGAATGTGCATTAAAAAATTGGAAAAATTCTTGTGTAATCTTATTCATATGTATGATAACTTTTTTTTTGTTCAGAAATGCCTATTATGGCTAACAAAAAAGAAAAGAACTATTCATATAGTCTCCCTCAAGTTAGTTACAGTATAAAGCAGTTCCTGAAATACTTTACTGTAATTCTAAGAGTAATAATATGTCTTATGTGTGAGCTCTGAGAGTAGCTTCTTTATAATTATGACAAGTAAAAGTATAGCCAAAGGTCACGGTAAGCACAAGATTTCTTTCATACCTCATCCATTTTGTGGACAGCATAAGAAGTAGTTTGGGTCCCTGCACTGATGTTTTAGTAGAGCAGTCAAGGTTGTTCTCATGGAAGTGTTTCAAATCTCTTTCTGCCTACCTCCCATGTTGTTGCAAAATTTGGCATGAATATGTATTTGAATTCTGGACTAATTAAATAGATCCTTTAATTTAATATTTAGAGTTGCAAACAAAATAGGGGACCCTGTTATACTTCAAGGATTTCTTAGACTGTTACACAGTAGTGATATATAGGAGCCTTTAATAATACTAAATACTATAGTAACTTGATGCGTGTCTCAGTATTATCTTAGTATCAATATTGTTCACAGAAACAGTAAAACCCAAACAACATAGCAATAACAATAAAACAGTATCACACGAATTATGTAAACATGACATGCCTATAGATGTACAATCTATTGATTAGATCCTGTATTTGACTTTAATTTGGCTATCTAAATGTAAGTTAGAGTATTAACAAGGTCATATATAGGGAAGCCTTTTATTTAAAAATGAACAGCCAGAGGCTGTGGTTCACATCTGTAGTCCGAGCACTCTGGGAGGCTGAGGCAGGAGGATCACTTGAGCCCAGGAGATCAACCTGAGCAACATAGGGAGAGCATATCTCTGCATAGATAAAACTTTAAAAAATCAACCAAATGCAGTGGTTCCAGCTACTTGGGAGCTGAGGGAAGAAGGATTGCTTGAGCCTAGGAGATTGAGGCTGCAGTGAGCTGTGATCACCTCACTGCACTTCAGCCTGGATGACATAGCAAGACCCTGCCTCCGCCGCCTCTTGCAAAAAAGAGAGAATATATGTATGTTAGAGAGATTGTATCACATCTCTTTAAGTCATCATCAGTACACAGTACCAAAAAATAATCTAAAGAAAGAACATTTAGATGAGGATAAAATTGTAAATTATAGCTTTTAGTATAACTGATATAAGTGTTTCCTTCATACTTTTTTCTATTGTTTTCACACCGTAGCATGCTTTTTCTTCCTGTAAGACTTCTAGAATAACAGTTTTCAA